AACCCGTCTGGATGTGATCCTGGGCAATATGCTCTAGAGGACCCTGCTTGAGCAGGGAGGTTGGACTAGATGATCTCCAGAGGTCCCATCCAACCTAAACGATTCTGTGATTCTGTGGGACCATTAAGTCCTTCACCCTTAAGGCAGGCCTGAGTACAAGGCTAGTTCTGGCTCCCCAGGGATTTCCATGGAGACCAGCATAGCAAGCTCCAGGGCTGGGGTGGTGACTGGCAGGTTTGCATGCGAGGAAGAATCAGTAAAACTAAAGAGAAACTGGGAGGGAAGAATCACTTAAGCGCTCAGTTCCAAAATGTTATTTTTTGCACTTGCTGAGAAATGCATCAGTCTGAGGATCAGGCTGAGGATCTTGGCTTCTGGCTTATGTTAGACCCATCTTTACATCATCAAATTAAACATTTCCCTTTCTCGTTCAAAGGCTTTATCGGTTATGTATTTTCAGGTTTTCCGAGCAGAAGAATTCAGTGGGGGGGCCAGCATGGTAAAATGCACTCCAGGGAAAGTCCTTTCTTCAGCATTCAGTGGCTTTTTTGGGCCTAGTAAATCTTGAATTCATTGCCCTATGTGATCTTTGGCAGGAAAGATGGAGGTTGTGTTTGTTAGCGAATAATCTTTTCCCAAAAAAGCAAGCTTCTGTGGAAGATGCGGGTCTGAATCCCTCAGTCAGGAAGGACTGGATTTCCCGCACTCTGAGGACACCCTCCAAGCACTGGGGTATCGGATGGAACAGGGACACTACCTCATATCATCCTTTCCTCTACTTTATTTTGGAAGATCAGTCTCTAGCCCAGTCTTGCATGAATTTAGGCATCTGCCTTCCATGGAGTGAAGGAACGGTATCTTCCCCTACGCTTATACTTTAATCTGCTCATACTTTAGTATAGGTGCTCTACAGGCAGATGTTAATGTGGAAAGAATAATTTAAGTGCAAAATAATGTAGGTAAGCATTGTTTTACATCAAAAGCACTTTACTAGTTTCAATTAATGATGGGCTTGTGAAGTATAGAAATGCCAGAAACCTAAACTTATTAAATATTAACCTGACATAGCCTATTTGTGTATGTAGTCTGCCATAAAAGCCTATGATTGCATGATTTGTGTTTCCATACTGCAGTAGCAGCTTTGAAAACAGATATCACTGTTGTGTCATCACTTATGTTGTGGCTGAGTGTATCTGTGGGTGTGTGCAAATTTGAGTATACTCTAGACAAGGTGAAGCTGGATTAGAAGTGATTAGTTGCAGCAATAAACATCTTTCTTTCATCTTTCACCATCCAACCTGTATATTCCTTACTAATGTAGCACTTCGGAACTTATCCTGACATTATATAACACTTTAAAACTTCCACTGAATTGTCCACAAAAAATACTCCCCATTCCTTTGATTTCTGAAATCCTATTTTAGGGTGCTAATGACAAAGGTGAATTTGGTGCAGTGGAATTAAGCTGGTGCTGCATTAAAAGCTGAATACAGGCTTGTGTTTAATTATTGTACCGATTTTATCATGAACTTTAATGGAGAGAGTAAGAGTATGGAATGGCTGTACAGATCTCTGTCCAGAGAGAAACACCGTACTCAGCTCTTCATCTGATGAGTTGTTTTAGTGTGGGTCTTTTGGGGGCTGCAGATGGCTCCATGTTGCAGAGGTCAGCTACATCTTACTGGGGAGCTATGCATTGTCTATGCCACTTGCATTGGATCAGAAGCAGCATTTGTCACTGCTGCCTACCCAGGCATTAGATAATGTATCAGAGTAACTGTAAGCTCATATAATGGGTTTTCATCTCTGAAGAAATGACCAAATCCTTGCAAGACTGAAAGCTGGAAAAACTGGTCAGTGCTGCCCAAACTGGCATCATGGTTCAGGCCACACAGAGAAGTGGTGTTCTGCTCCACAGCCCAGGCCCAGTGAGCTCCTGTGGCTATCTGCTATGTACTGACCTGTCTTTGGGAACCAACCCGCTGCACTTTCTCTAGTGTAACCCCCCAAGCCTTTCTTGCAACCAACACAGTCCTAGTGCTTTGCTAGTCCTGAAAAGCTCACTTAGTTTCTGGTCAGGTGGTGTCTATCAAGCAAACGGGACTTGAGGATTGATGGGGTTTCACATCATCTTTTTTCTCTCTCCGGCATCCTCCTGCCTTGTATCATCAGGCTGGTTTGTTCTTGGGACCACTGATGTCAGCTGTTGTGCTTCTTGAGGCCAGCAGTCCTTTCCCTGTGATTTACACAGGCTGGGAGCTGCTGAGAGCAGTGTGTTTAGCAGCTGCTGACTCGGTTCTGCTCACTTATAATCACAGATGGTTATATGTACAGAACAGATATAAGGCAAGGCTTTCTATATTGAAGATATATTCTGCTTTCTTCTATATCCAAAACTTCACTGAAGCCTTGCGTGCCATACTATGCAATCACAAAATGATGGAAATGATGGTTATATCTCTGGACATATGAAGTCATTTGTCTGGCATTTGTTACACATCTCTAAATGAAGTACTGTCTGATTTTATAGTGACCATAGATCAGTTAGCTTTTTGCTATAGCCTTATCTTCCTTAACTGCTCCTGTTATTATCCTGGGAATATGAAAAAGTATTGAGGCCTACAATAAACATAGCATGACAAACTGGAAGGCTGCCAAGGGTCCAATAAATAACTAGGAAATAAAAGAACCACACAAGCAAGACATAGCCAAAAAAAAAAAATGCATAAATTCTTCACATCAGAGTTCTTTACAGAGGAACTCAGGACGGTTTCTGCATTCCATTCTTTGCAGTGTGGAAGCCTGAAGAAGTATCTCAAAATGAAGTATCAGCTGAAAGAGCTCTAGAATAAATCACTTTTTTCTAATAGGAACAAATAGCAAGGACCAGATGTTATTCACTTAAGGGTTCTACAAGAACTCAATATGAAATTGCTGAACTAATAAACTACTGTGATGTATTATGCATTTTAAAACTGACTTTAGAACTTAAATAATAAGTGGCAATTGGGACTCTTATTAAAAAGAAAAACAAGAAAAAAAAAGAGAGAGGGGGAGCTATAGACCATTAATTCTGACTTTTGCAGTGGACCAATTAGGTGAAAGAGCAGAATGTGTAGATAGGTGGTGGAATATGAAAAAACGAAGAACTGACCCAGCATTTCAGAGGCCATCAGAGGAGCTAATGTGGAGGAAAGTGATCCAATTGTGACATGGTGCACTTCAGTTCTGAAAAACCTGTTGGACACTTTTCCTCACCAAAGGCTCTTAAACAAACCAGTGTGTCATGATATAAGAGAAAAATTCATTCATGAACTAATAACTGAATAAAAGATAGGAAAAAAACAGTAGGAATAAATAGGAAGCGGAAGGGAGGTTTCCAGTGATATCCTAGAAGGGTACTTGTCTCTTTTTATCTTTTTATCTTTTTATCTTTTTTAAGAGAGGCATATAGTGAAGTAACAATGTTTCTAAAGATATTCAGTTATTCCAAACAATCAAAGGTAGGCCAGATGCAGGGAAGATTTGATAGTATGAGGTGACTGGGGGATCAAATGATAGGTGGCATGCAAAGTTGATACATACAAAGTCACACACGTAACAGTGAACTCTAGCTGATCAGAAAAGAGAAGAATCTTAAGAGTCACTGTGGGTAATCCTCTGAAAACCTCCGTGTAGCATTCATGAGTGTTCAAAATGGCAATGAGAGTGCTAGGAAGGAGACAGTTAAGGAGTTACACAACAGTATTTATAAAATCATGACCAGCATGAAGAAGAGACTAAAGAGTAGTCATATTCGTATCACCTTGTTCAAATGTCATACTGAACAGTCACTATTCACTCTTTTTTTTAATCCGTGATATAAGAAATAGTTATGCCCAAATCAAATCTTCTACCAGATATGCCTGGGAATATTTTTGGGACACTGAGCTTTGCTGGCACAGAGCAGCTTGCATTTAAGCTAGTAAATTCTTTTGGCCTCCAAGACAGGATGACTTCTTTGCAAACTGCCTTTGGGGCATGACCCCAAAGCTTTCAGCTTTGCGGCTGAAATGTTCAGCGCCCAGACCCCGCCTGGGATCACTTAGAAGCAGGCTGGTTAGCATGGGCCAAACAGCCAGTCAGTAATGCCCGACTCTAAACTGCTGAATGGTTTAATAGTATGGACAAACTCCTTCAAAGGCCTGGGAATGCTTCTGGGCGGTTGTTTAACTCACTCTGAAAGAGCTTGGGAAGCCACCTCATCTTATACTGCCTGGAGTGGTAAAAGGAAGGCTTCCCTCAGCTCACTCCATCATTTGCACGTGTCTGCTGCTGGAGACAGATGGGGTCCTGCTCTGGTTGGCCCTTGGGTTTTAACCTGCACAGTTAGTTCTTGGCACAGAAGGGATGCACGTGCTTTGGATCAAAGCACAATTCTGTCCACGTATGCATATTTTTGAATAATAAACTGTCAGGTTTTCCCTTTTTTAATTAAAAAGAGCACGTATTTTTAAAAGTGGTCAGTTAATTAATTTGAGAGCCTTCAAGGTGATTTTTTGGTCTCTGTTGATTGCACAGCATTTTTTAAAGCCGAGCTGCAAATATAAGGCACACTATGTTAATGAAAGTGCACTGTGATCTGAATATAACATTGCAAACAGACAAGAAACACAATTATTTTTATTAAATAATTACAATAAATATACAGAGGTTATGTAATAATGCTACTTACTGCAAAGCACTACCAATGAACATTCATATCTTCTGGAAAAAAAACAAGACATTTTACTTATCTTTGCTAATGCTCTGCTAATAAGATTTGCTTACTTATATCCTTAGACCATCACAGCTACAATAACATTACTGCTGCTAAAAATATTTACAGTCAGCTTTGCTCGTTTAATTCTTGGGCTGTAAAAACTCAAAATACCTCTTAAAATATTAGGCTAATTGTTGGCAAGTTATAATTTTCTACTTGTGAACTTCATTCTGTTCTAAGTACAGAAGAAATAATGATTTTAATTCATTAAGTAAATTCTGTGAAAGCTAATGACCTCATGACAAAAGTCATGAAACTATGGCTTTAGGTTTAACTGAATGTATTTCTCTTTATGATTGACCATTTGGGACTTTTCAAATATTGTCACTCAATACATTTCAAGTTTGTGAGGCTGGGGTACGTGAGCAGGGCAGACTACTCGGGACCTGTCAGGCAGTAATGAAACTGTATGATGATAATCCATTTGCTTTTCTGGTGTGTATTCTAAGTTAAATTCTGCCAAACAACTCTCTAAACAATACTGCTATGTAGCGCAAAACAGCATGTCAAACTCTCTTCTGAGTTTGGCCTGTATGTCATGCTATTTAAAATTTAGATGAAAAGTCTTTGTCTTGGGATGATGAAGACTCTGGTTTAAACTTTACTGCTGACTATGAGGACATCCTGCTAAGTTAATATAAAATTAAACATTAAATCCCTATGACAGCATAGTGCAGTTTTCAACAGAAAGGGAAAAAAAATTAAGGCACTTCTACTATGTCTAGTTACATATTCTGCAGATATAAAGGACTGGATATTTAGCTGCAACACATTGATCAAACTCAAGTAGCACTACTTCAGTTTACAACTCACAAGGATTTGGCCTTCAGTCTTTATTATGCAGACAATGGCAGAAACACAGTTTCACATGGAAGGCATATTCTGTCGCACACGTTTTAACAATGAGAATAAGAAATACAGTGTGGCTACAGAAATAAAAAACTGCTCCATACAGTTTTATTTTAGAATACATATGAATTCATCAAAGCACTTTTTCGCCCCTGTTAACTACTGATGATATATTTACAAAGCAAATAACGAACAATGGCTAGAAAATAGCATTGCACCACAAATTATCTACATGGATATTTCTATATTTCATACTAGAAAACACCTAAGATGGAATTTACTTCAGTACAATGTTTCTTTCATAAATTTTAATGTGTTTTAGTAGCTAATACAAAATAGAGATGCAGACTGCATTACATTAGTAAGAAAAGCAAACATATTATGGACTTGGTTAAGAAAAACGTTTCCTAGCAAAAAGTAACTTTTCTTTAAAAGAGCTAATCTGCTCTGAGCACTTCACATAGGGACTGTAGACAACTTACATTTCATATAGTTACATTTCACAGAGTTCCTTTCATCTTGAAGGATCCCCAAGTGCTTTACAAAAAAGAAAAAGTTACACAACTTTGAAATGTTGCTGATTGCACGGTGGAAACTTGAGAAACTAGGTCAAAAGGAATTCATCAACATCCTATGCTAGCTCTGAGAGGCTTGTAGCTATATTTCTATTCACACTGGAATTTACAGTAACAATCTTGTTTTGGAGTTCATTCTACAGTCGATAGCAACATGGACTAGATCAAACCTTTGCATCTTTTTTTACTCTTATCTCCTTTAGAAGTGGCAGCTCACTGCTTTGACTGTAAAAGTCTTGTTTCTATGCAAGAACTGGAAGAGGAAGTTGCAGCTTGGCGTTTTTTCAAACATGCATTGGAAGAATTATTCTCCTCTGAAACTGTGGAACGAACACAGGAAAGACCACCTCTTGAATTGCAAAGGTGCTGTTCTAGCTGATCTCATGAGACTTTTCCACATAAGTAACCTGCACAGAAAACACCTCTACAAAGAAATTTTCAAGTGTAAATCTAGTCCCCAACAGTATTACAATTCCATCATTAAAAGTTCACGTCTTTTTCAAACTATAACCGTCTATTGTTTGAATTTTTGTTTCCAACCTGTTAAACCCTACTGTAACTGCTCAGATCATGTCAGATAGCTACAGGTAGAGCAGCTTTGTGTTAGACTAATGCATTCCTGGAAAACATGTATGTTTTGAACACTGATGCTTAAAAAGCCCCTGAATCTCTTGGCTCTGCTTGCTACTAAATTTCACGCTTGTGTTATGTGCAGTGCAGAGGTGCTGCAGAAGTTTTGACAGACTGGAAAAGCAGGCACTTTCCTTTGTGTTTTTTGAGGGAAAGTGTATCCTACACTTCCCCACAGCATACTGCACAGACACGCTGTTGCACTGGTTTGCAATTGCTTTGAGCTATGCGGCAGGAGGCCCTGTCACGGCAGTGGAGTGGTTTCAGCTTCTTGAAGTTCCAACTGAAAGGAAAGAAATTGCAAATACAATGAACAATTACTTGATTTCTTCCCTCCCACAAGGCTCTCTGTACGTGCGTGCGTGTGTGTGTGTATTTGTGCTTAGGAGGAATTTACTTCTCATTTGCAGCTACTGTGCTGCTGTACAAAGCCGAACAGCTAGCCCAGGTGCTAGGGGCAAGACTACTCTTCTGTTATAAAACAGCAATGGCAGAGGGAATGATTACAGGAAAATGTTCATGTCTGATTTTTAAAGGCAAAGGCACATCAGCGTATCTGAAAAGCTGCCTTACTTAAATGGGAATTCAGACCAAGCCAGTTTTTTTTCTTTCTAGAGGCGAACCCACTATCAGTTTCATTAACATGGAACGACTTCACTCTCTTGCAGCAACTGCAGGAAAGTTAGCATTTCAGATGATGCATTAATAGCTTTTCTGTGGTCAAATCAGTAAATTGGCCAATGCTTTATTCCGAATTTTGACTTGCATTTAAAATCTAGTTTAAATTCTGAGATGGAATTAAATCAGACCCCCAACAAATCCCCCGCCCTGTGTGCTCTTGCTGTCATGTTAAGTTATCTTCTTACCTTGGCGCAATAGTACTACAAATATTTTCATCTGCATATTAGGCACCATATCCTGAAAGTCTCCAACCTTTTTGCTGTCTATCAGGTGCTGCCCTGCAGCCCTAGAGCTTGTTGGACACAGGGTGGGAGACTGTCTGGGTAAAGCGTTGGTGGCATGGGAAGCAGAGTCACAGATCAACCTTCACTGACACAAGAGAGGGGAACGTGTTGCTATATCAGTAATGGCACACGGGTGAGGGTTTCAGGGCAGGAGGAAGGAAGGCACATTTTATAACTGGATTGTTTTCTGAGTACTTTCAGCAGAGCGAAGTCTGTTGGGACTGATTTAAGGAAAGATTTCTCCAGTATCAAAACATAACTCAAATGCATGTTCATTTTAAGATGCTATGATCAGGGAGTTTTTGTATTCTATATTGGGAATGTTCTTCCTTAGCCCTTTTTGGCCAGAAACTTAACTGATCCTAAATCTGAATGTCCTTTCCTTTTGGAGAAGTCTAGATTCAGAAATGAACTTTAAAGTTCATATTCACTTACCTTTATGAACTGGATAAGGTGTAAGCATTTCTATTTTAGGTTTTTTTTTTTGCATATTTTTTGTTTGTTTTCAAACCATTAAACTTTCTATTCTATTAAGGAAAAATTGAGGTGTTCTGTTCCCCATTTATTCACAATTTGATAATACTACAAATGCATGCAGCCTTGGAAGATTACTTAGTTCTTGTCCTCATAGCATAGTTTACTTGTTTTCTTTATGAAATAGTCTGACACATTCTCTTTTCGCTGTTACCTAAAAGATTCACAAAGTGCCATGTCAATGCAAATCAGCTATAAAAGAAAGCCTAGTTTTAAGGATCTCCTGAATTTAGCGATAGGTTATAGATATATATAGTATTATTTACAAAGGAGATGTGCCCATTTTCTCATAGTATATAGAAAAGCCATTCTCTAATAATGTAGGCAGATGGGAATCTGCCAAGGCTTGGGGCTAATGAATCTGCCCAACTTTTGCCATGTTTCTACATAGGACCCTCCAACATGCCCCAACACTGTTTGCGATCTGCCATATAGCACTAGGACAATTAAAATGTTACAAAGTACTTTCTTCAGTTAATTCATCAGAGTGAAACTGGCTTTCAAATTTTCCTTGTTTCAGCTCAAAAATAATTTTCCTATAATCCAGTGTCCTTTTTATTTCTACATCTTGGATGCCAAGCCAAGTAATGAGGGCAAAGCTTTCAGGACTGAACACAAAAACCAGAACTTCTGGTTTGTGAAGATAACTTATAATAGCTCAGGCCTTATTTTCAGAATGTGAGGAGGACTTGCAGCTTCTATTAAGGCATTTAGAAACTTCAATGGTTAAGGAGAAAGCCTCAGAAACTGAAAATACAAAAAATGGCTACAGAAAACGACTTAATATGCCTGCAAATGTGCCTGAACATAATTTGCTTAGTTGCTTGAACGCTTTCAGGTAAGACTCTTGCGAAAACTTAAACGGCTCACAAAGAAAATAATTCATTTATATGAATCTAATTTCTCAGATTTCTATTATTATTAATAATCCATTTTTTCCTGAGTGTATGCGATTTTCTGTGTTATTAACAGCAACAAAAATAAAAGGTATTTGAAAAGATACTTCTCAGGAAAAAAAGAAATATCAATGTATCTTAAATTCAAGACATGTTAAAGCATTTCTCAATCTAAGAGATAACGCAGAGAGTTTCTGTGCACCTGGAGTAAACAGCTATTTCAAAATATTTGTTACAGGTCTTTGCTATGAATCAGGTTAGTACCAATGACATCAGTACAGTTTAGTCATTTGCAAAAGCTGCTATCTGGTCCTTCACTAGAATTCCCTACCAATATTGGGATTGACAGAGAAAAGTTCACAGTAAGCAGTTTTGCTTTGCAAGCAGATTTTCCAAGGTTCTGTCATTCCCATTCTGTTTTTCCTCTTCACGCAAACGCGCTTAGAAGATTGCATGTGCTTCCCCGAAAATTAAAGTGAGCCAAGCCTTTAAGCTAGTAAGTTTACATAAAGCTGACTGTGGAACAAATGTAATCTGTGCATTTTGTCACGGCAAGATAGTTGATTGTCACACAGGATATATCCTCCACAGATGTGAAACACGTCAGTCTTACAGCACTTTCAGGTTTTACATGCCTGACTAGCCGCTGCCTTTTCTCTCTTAGAAATACTTTGCTTCACTGGACACGTACTATTTTCATAAATGCTCACACCATCAGTGTTATGGATCAGATGCTACTTTGTGCGTGTGAAGGGAGCTTCATGTCTGGGGAAAGTCAGAACTTATTTTGTTCTTCCAGTTTTCATAAACACTGATAAAAAAAAATCAAACTCTTAATCCAGACAAATCTTAACCTTTGCATGAAGATCTTTACAATAAAGCCCCAAAGCCATAAAATAGGGTCAAAAGTCATTATCTTAGCACAGAATAATATCAGTGATTTGTGCTGTTTCCTCTTACTGCTTTTGCGCTGATAGAAAACTTGGTTGTCAGTTCCAGCAGTGAATGCTTATTTGAAGTGCTTCAAGAGCGTGAGGTCTAAAGCTGCTGAGCTCCTGAGTGCTTGTAGTTCTCATTAACTTCTGCAGGAGTAAAGAATTCTCACTTGGCAAAAAAGCAACTTGCTGAACATCTGTTTCTTTGAAAATAACTTGAACTGGGCTGAGTAGCCCTACACCCTTGCAATTGTAATTCATACCAAATCATCTCCAAGGCCTTGCCTATACAAGAAAGCACTTGTCAGTATACTTAGATCAATAGAGATATTCTGGCTAGACCGTCTTGTACAGAAACCACTTGCCTGTGAAAAGACTGCTCTGTTAATAGAATTTACAGTAGCTGTTTGAGCAAACAGAAAAAGTGTGTGTTTTTTTTTCCTCTTCTGGGAGCAAAACCTGCTCCCAGAACTAGGACTTTCACTACTTAAAAAAATTAAATTAGATGTCATATTTATAAGTACTATCCCAGAAACCCTTTTTAGTGTAGATTAGTCCTACGGCCTTTGTGGTCACTCTGATATTAAGAAAAAATGTTGTCTCTTACAAAAAATTTTGCTGAAGAAAAAAGTTAAATGAAGTTTTTAATATTCAGGTTTGACCATGGTTTGATGTGAATATATTCCAAAGACTTTGCAGAAGGTGAGAAAGCCTGCCTCCGCCAGCTGCTGTGCTAGCCCAGGGAGCACTGCGGTGCAAATGTGCAGGTCAGCATCCAGAGAGCAGACCTGGCACAAAGAAACCACTGGCAGCAGCAGCCGAAGCAAGGACTGCTGCCATGGTGGTGAGGGAAATGAAACTGGACTCGCTTATGGCCACTTCAAATTCTCTCAAAAGCCAAACCATGCAAAAAGACACATCCACCCAGCTATGGGGACATAAGTTTCCAAGTGCTGTATTCTCCGTGGCCCTGGGGAAAACAGATAACTAGTTTTCAGGAATAGCTACAAAAGTAATCAAAGCTGGGCAGTAAAAGAATTTCTTACAGGTCTGATTATGCTTTTTTGTTCCATATAGACTGGCTGTTTGCTTCAATTTTCTCCCTTACTGCCTCACTCTGACCTCATTCCTAATTTTCCTCTTTCTCCTCTCGCACTCTCCTTTTCCCATCAGCATCTTGCCCTTCAATTCTCTTCACATGTGTGCTATCTCTTTTTACCTAATTCCATAACTGTTCCTTGATGACCCCCCCCCCACCACCACCACCAATTCCCCGCCACACAACTGTGTGCCTAGCTTGCTCCCTGCTGCCATTGTAAAACTCACTTCACTTGTTTGGTCTATCCCGCCTTGGCTGACTGTCTCCCTTGTCAGCACGGGCTGAAACAGCTCTGTGGGCAGGATCATCATCTAGTCTGCGTTTGCTCAGTGCACAGAAAAATAGGACCTTATCTCAGGCAGCCGCTAGCTTACTAGAAAGAGTATAGAGAAGCATAACTAAAAACAGAAAATGTGTGCATGCAAACTACACTGTAAAACCTGGAACTGCACTAAATACAGCTATAGATATAATCCTATTGTAAGACGCATGCATAAAATTGACTCCACTGAGGGTAACAAATGCATTCTAGAGAGCTGAATCTCTCTAACAAACATTTATTATGCATAGTAAATACTATATGTATATACATATATATATGTGCGCCTATGGCAAGATTGGCGGTTCTGCTCCATCACCAAAGCGTGTTTAAGACTGAACAGAACAGGTTCTAACCCATTTCACAGGCCAGTTTGATGTGTATAAATCAGATGCTGGTGAAGGAACACACCAAATGCAGATGTTTATTAAACTTTCCCATCCTGTTTTTAGACTGCTCCTTCCTCTTCTGGTGCAACCACAATTTTGTCTGTTTGGTTATGGTAACGTCCTGATTTTGGATTCCTGCCATCAGCCCTCGGTCTCAATAAGTGATAGGTATACTATTTCTTTCAGGAGGATCCATTCACTTTGCACCTTGAGAAGGCAGCTAGCTTGTGGCTGAAATGGCAGCAGTGAGAAACTCATACAAGAGCAACTTAATGATACTGCTGATGCAAGGAAACTCTTTTTAAAGGTAATGTGGCAAGGAATGAACTAGGCTTGTGCCTCTTGTTCTTCTTTTTAGTGAATTGTGGAGAAGACTCAGAAGCTTTTTCTGGTGCTTGTTTTGTGCTTAATTTCAGGAACATTAAGATTCACCTTCATGTTTTGCTTGATGTTTACTGAAGGATGCGGACTGGAAACTCTCAGACTAATCACAGGAACATAAATGTTGAATACACAACAAAAGAGCTTATCTCCCAAAAGCTAAGCAAAAAATAGCCTGGATAAAAAAAAATCTATTTCCCTTGGTATCTGCTGTGTCACGAACTCCTACTTCTCAAAGGCTTTTTTCTACAGGGAAATATTCTCTCTATACCTTAAACAGCACAATACTCCTTAACATGTCTGTCTCTGTGTGTGTGTGTGTGTGTGTGTGTGTGTGTGTGTGTGTGTACATATATATACCTATCTGTAGAAAGGTGTTCAGACTAGGCGAAAGTATTCCTATTTGGAGAGTGAAATGAAAGGTGTCAGCTGAAAGCATATTTATAACGCTTTAAGTAGTTGAGCTGGTTTAATTACCTATGCAAATGTTATCTTTTTACATATGTTAAAAAAAGAAAAAAAAACAATAATGAACCCTAGCCAACACAGATAAATATCTGGTACAAGAATTGCACGTAGACAAGCCTTTGTCTACTTCTTGAATGTCTTCCGGGACAAACAGGACCTTCCAGGCCTTTTTTGTAAATCATAAGAATCAAAAAGTGTACAAGCACAGTTTCTTCTCTTTTCAATTCACTGTTGAAATGGGAGAAGAAAAAAGATTTACATCTTGTCCCACCACTGTCTCCTTCAGTAGACAAGGAGTATGAACACAGAAATCTGTGATTATTCTCCCAACAGCTCTAACAGAGTCATCTGTCGTAAACATACTGCAATGAAACACTGCCTCTGGTTTGTGCACTGTGTAGGCAAGCACACTGGACCCGACCAGGCAAGGTACCTTTGAAAGCCCTCAGCTTCTGGGCACCTACGAGCTGAGATCAACCAGCACCATGCAGGACCGGGGCCTCAAAGTATGTGTATGCCAGCTACAGAAATAACCCTGAAGGCATTTATGCCTTCAAATAGCTACAAATCAGTATAAACTGTAACTTCAGAGTACATGTCATCTCCAAGCGGGAGACCTGGATCCAGAGATGACATTTCCACTGCTAGTCATACCTGATGGTTAGTCCTGTCCACAGTGTTGGCAGTGGAAGCATGGTCACGAGTGTTTTGTCGGACGCGGGTGGAGTTTTGCTGCTCAATGGTGGAGGAAGTGGGGATGCAGAACTCTCTGAAACATCTTTTGAAATTCTCATCTAGAAATGCATACAGGACTGGATTAAGGCAGCTATTTGTATACCCTAGAGCAATACAAAAGTGCCAGGAGACAGTTTGGAAAGTAGTTTCTGGAATGTTGACCAGGGCTTTAATGATGACATAAATGTGGATGGGAGTCCAGCACACGATAAACACCGCCACCACCACCAGAACCATTCTCGTAATTCTTCGCAGGTTCCTGTCCTTCTCTTTGGAGCCAGATAACATGCGAACACTCTTTAGGCGTAAAATCATCAGCCCATAGCACACAGTAATGATCAGGACTGGCATGATGAACGCAAAGATGAACACACAGATTTTCAGGAGGTTCTCCCAATACCAAGCAGGGTGGGAGAATGTAAGTGTGCAGTCAATAGATCCTAGAGAAAAAATAAAACAACAGAGAAGATGAGCAGGTCAGTTTTTCATTTGCTTTTCTTTAGTCTTTTTTGATCAATGTTACAGGCAAATGAATGAAAATTTACTAAGTAAAACACTTCTAGAACATAATGTTGCAAAACATATATGATGCTTTAGTTAGAACACCAAAACCAAAGTAACTTGTCTTTTGCATGTTATTGCTTGGGATTTGGTGTATATTTGACAGAAAATGAGCTGAATTGCCATAATTGCTCAAACTTTGATTCACTTTCACTTTCAATATAAAACCTGGTGGAAAAAAGATGGTTTAGCCATCACATCTACCATCAGTTGGGCCTTTCAGGGCATTGGGGAAAAAGGATGACATGACACTCGGGTAGCTGCGTTTTGGGGATTTTCACTTGAGTTGATGCTGTTACTTCGTGGAAGGTCTTTGAGCACCAGCAATCCAAAATGTACTATCACTGCTGTTTCATGTCATGCCAGACTAGGTACAAAACAGCCATGACTGCCAACTTCCATGGAAATATCTTGGGTAAAGCACAGGCTTCTGTGTACTTTAGGAGAGGGGTGGATAACCCTGTGTAGCCAAAGGCAGGCTGGTGGGCAGGCACTGATGCTGGCTTTCCCAAACGCTTCACTGACTGTGGGGAGCAGTGGGACTAGTGTCCATCTACAGCAGGAAGTGAGGAGCTCCCTCATATAACAGAGATCTTGTCTAGTGCTGTGTTTAGTCAACTAGACTGGTGCTCATCTAAGTGAAGAGAAAATGACTTTGATTCAAGGGATAAGCCATGTGAAGGTGAGGAGGCACTCCTTAGAGGACTAAGCCTCCAAGCTTCCAGAGAGCAAAGAAATAGGAGGCAAAATCATACAGGGTTTTTCTGTGCCTAGACAAAAGGAATAATTTGTTGATTGGTCTAGAACAAAAAAAGACACCTTGTACCGAAAGGTGCCTATAACATTATTGAGCCTGTGAGGGCCTGCTATAAAAATTCTTAGAGGAGCCTATTTGCATTGTCAGGTTGGAAGTCAGAAATTAGTTCAAAGCCTCTGCAATTAATAGAAACAATGCAGTCAGGAGTTTAAACATTGAAATATTCAATTCATAAATGAAAGCTGGACTTACCATGCCTGTATTTAGTAGTTGCCATGAACATAACTGGTAGGCCAATGGCAGAAGAAAGAATCCAATTGCAGACATTGACAATTTTGGCATTTCTGGGAGTACGGAAATCAAGGGCCTTGACCGGGTGGCAAACAGCTACGTAGCGATCCACACTCATGGTGCAGAGTGTAAAGATACTGGTGAACATATTGTAGTAGTCTATGGATATAACGATTTTGCAAAGGATTGTACCAAATGGCCATGTTCCCATCAAGTAATTCACACTCTGGAATGGCAGAGTACTTGTTGCTAGAGCATCTGCCAATGCAAGATTGAAAATATAGATATTGGTGGCAGTCTTCATTTTCGTGTACCTAGAAAAATCAGCAAAGCGTGTGAATGACTACAACTAACAATATTAAATAAAATCAAGACCAATGCAACCTCTGTAAAAAAAAAAAAAAACAGGTAATCTGCAGGACAAGACACAAAAAGTGTAAAATGAAATATATAATGTGTCTTCTACTTTTAAATGTGTGATAACTCTTGACCTTGATCTCTTCAGAACATGAGTCAGCTGCAATGAACGGATGACAGGGATATGTACGGGACACGCTCGGGACCGTTCAGGTAGGGCCCAGATAAATGCAGACTTATTGCTGAATGCACCTAGGTAACTTTCATGATGAACATTTGAAGATGTACTGTCTTTGTTCTCTCATTTCATAGCACTATGAATGAGAAGCCATGAGTAACCTTAATTTTAATATTGATATATTTTTTTCTAATAATTTCCAAATAGATCCAAACTCTTGCTTTACAGCTGTCTAGAGAAAGTATGACCTAAGTATGGTATTTTGAAGTTTTAAATCAAATCTGAAATTAAAGTATTTTAGAAACTTTTCTTAGGGCAGCACCCCATTTATCCAATAGATTGTAATGCTAACTTAGGAAGAGGTAGATTCTGCAGGCATACATGTCTCCCTCCACGGGAAATTATTTAGGAAAAAATGTAGAGGATTGCAATGTGGGAGAGAGACACAATAAATTGCAGCTCTAAAAGCAGCGTTTTGGAAGAAGGGAGAAAATATTTTCTAGGCAAGTTGCTGGTGAATCTTGCAGAAGAGAATGAAAATAGCAACATTTTAATAATGACTTAAGTATCATCCAGAATGAAAAGGTTGAGCTAAGTCCTCTCTCTGCTGTATCCCTTCTTGTTGTATATCAAAAACGAATGGATTCTCCACAGACAGGACAAGAGAACCCGGATTAGCTAAAGCTGTGTCAAGAGAGCCAACTGGAGGTGTGGTTGCCTTATGAACAGCCTTATCCAGCTTGCTTCAAGCCTGATTTAATCAGCTCAGGGATCAACAGCATCAGGGGCAGTGGCACTGGAGCCTGTGCCAATGAGAAAAGCCAGTGCGGATCCTGGGTCCTCACCCAGGCTGCTAATCCATATTGCACTCTAAGACAACTGCCATGTCCTTATGGCTGGACTGGACAACAAGCTTAGAGACGCTGCTCTCTGCTGCTGCTATCCTGCCTGATTCTAGGGCAGTACTCTCCTAAGAGCACATCATTAAGTGATAAGGAGTTTTTATCAGTAATTAAAGCCATTCAGATGCTTTACAGCGAACGCTTGATACAGAGAGAAAAAAAAAAAACCCAAACCAAAAATTAAACAATAGCAAGTGACTCTGAGTTTAGCATGTCAGAGAAAGGGAAGAGAAAAGCTCTGAATAACTGGAAATGGAAGAAAATTTCTTCATTGGGACTGCCATCGTCCTCATCCCGTTTAAATGCTAGGCAGTTTTCAGTTTTGCTGTCTCGCTTTCATTCCCGGTTTAAGCTAAAAAGTTCTTGGGCTTTCAATTATTCCATTTAATGGGCCCTACAGATTATTAACAAAGGATTTTGCCTGATATACTCTGTAATCCTTATATTTCTAATCACCCTGTTCTTATAAAAAGGAGAAGCAGAGCTTCTGTGGTAGTAGAAAGTATTTTACCTCCACAATTGTCTGATCAACAAAGCCCTTGAAATCCACAATATTCTTTTCAGTGCCTTCTTTAGGGTTTGGGTTTTTCTCTTTACTGAATACTTTAAAAATGTCTAAAGGACTTATTTCTAAAAAGTATATTTTGTTAAACATGAGTATTTGTCAAAATAAGTAGACTATCAGAGTCTTCGGGATCAGTTCTTTGTATGAACAAATAAATCGCTGAAGCAATTGATTAAAATAATTTTAACAGCATGAAAAAATAACAGTCCCTCAAAACAGAGCTCTTAGAAGCCCTCATCTTAGCTGTTACTATTTCTTTTGTTAAGGTATCAGCCTGCTTATGTGAGAAGGTGCACAAACATTCTGTCATCTAGACATAGATGTGTATGTGATAAGATTTCTATACCTCAGAAGGACTAGTTTTTATACAGAAGGAAAGTCTGTATGCCTTGTAATACCAAAAGTATTATGCTGATAAATGCAGTCTTTTAAAAGATATTTGTTTTCACACTTTCATTCAGGGCCACTGAAGAATCTATTTTGAAAAAAAGACTAAATAAAGAAAACGTTTTAAATGAAAACGTCCAAAAATCTGAACGCTCGTATTTAGATTACATTGGAATTTCAGCATCTGAAATGCTGAGTATATTGGATTTCGGATGACAATGAGGTGAGGGCAGAAATTAGCTTTGGACAACATTACTTCTATTTTCACAGCTCTGTTACGAAAGACTAATATAGCAACATAGTGATTCAATTTTTTGGTGAATATTCAGCTCGACATTGCTCTTGTTACATATTTAAATTAATTATGCTCATTACAATACTGACACCCATTGTCTACCCTGTCTTTTCAGTGCAGGTTTGTATCATGAAATATCTATTTTTATGAAGCATCCTTTGCGGTGGATGGAGATGATAGATCAGTTTTACAACAGTAAGAAAACTCTTTACATGTGTCTAAGGTTCTGTAAGGCAAACTCAGCCCTGCCTTTATCTTCAACCCAACAAAGCCAATCTGCCAAAAATATACTTGAAATTTGAAGATTTGGGTTGTAGTAGTCCACTAACTGGGAATTGCTTGAAATAAGAAAAAGCAGTAAGAAAAAGCATGAGAATCCTACTGAAATGTTCACTAAGCTCCTAGCACTCAAGGGTAAACAGAAATAGAAAGCCTTGAAATGACCTCTTCCACTGGCAGCCCATGGGCCAGTCATAGTCTGCAAAACAAATAAAAGGTTCATGACACACCCTAGCCATTGCACAAAGCCTAACAGGATCTTGAGTGGGAGCCACAAGCACTATCCCTCACTAACATGCGTCAAGAGACGTGAGTCGCCTGGGCAGCTCGCTCTTTCTACAAGCCACGGGGTACAGCTCTGCTTCTGGCCTGCCCTCACGAAGGGCTTTGTCTCCACCTGATCACCCCCAACCATGTTTCTTAAGAGTCTTTTCTGTTAATTCCCAATGGCTCAAAGGTAGAAGGCAAATAACATGAATGACCAACATATGCTTTCTTAAAAAAGTTATGAGGCTTTTAGTTCACGCTATGCTTTTTCTAAGCCTGATTGATGCACTTTGGAGACTGTCATCTGAGTCTTGTCCTTAGCACTTCTTGTACCAGGTGCAAAGCAGCCATGGTGGCGAGGGGAACGTTTAGCCCAATGAATATAGTGATACAAACCATTACAAATTAATCTGGAAACTACTCCTATCTGAACGGCACCAGTGAGGGGAAAAGCACAGTCTTTTGCACTTAGGAAACGGGCTGTCTATGATAGATTGGTAATAACTACTTTCAGCAGCACACATACCAGCTTTTGTCCGTGTAATACTAATTTGGAGACAAAGGCTGCTTCAACTAATCTGTGTTTAGGTTCAACGCAAAATACATAAAAAATTGGCTTAATTACAGGAGGTTTTTTGCAGGAAGCAGCCACTCACGAAGCTGGTTTGGCTGCTCCAAGAAACAACAGCCTGCAATTAGGAAACACACAGAAGTCCTGTACACAGACAACCCTACATAACTCTAGCTGATTCTGGAGGAGATTAGGTTAATGTTTCTGATTCACATTCTTCTTGCATAAATGACTTGTTAAACAGATGAAGAATGATTATGTGCATGCATTAAATTTGTTGAGGTCTCCTTGGGTGGCAAGATTAGAAGATGTGAAATATGCCTACTTGAAAAATTTAAATCAGCACTTATTTCCATGGCTGTTCTGGTACATCTTGTATATGCAACCCAAATATGAGTGAGAAAAAAGGATTTAAGGAAAGGTCCCTCTTGTTCTTTCTTACTGCAATTCATTTCTAGGAACTGAGATGAACTATAATGCAGATGTTTTCTTTATAATTATCTCAAAACACGGTCTCCTGAAAAATTTAGAAATATTCTAATATAATTATAGCAATAGTCTATACCATTGGATTCCTAAAACCAGAATTAAAAACTATCAGATCTCGAAGCCACTGGGCTGGAATTGCCATACATCCACAAATGTAGATTTCTAGCTGATCGTGAGAAATCCTGCACTGCAATTCCCTGAAATAAGTCACACCACACTTAATACTGAAGATATGGCTGGACCATGACTTGGTCAGGTCCTTAGTGCTTTCCTGAGAGATATCAGGTACTTTCAAATTTCATTGAGCCTTTAAAGCTTTGGGCAAAGGTCACTTCATATTCAGGCTGGTCTAGACATTCCCTTAAAAGTTTCCTCTGTCTACCCATCTAATTAGCGTGTCTGACATTGAAATGGTTAAGTCTCAGATAGGCCACATCTTGGAAAGTACTTGCAGGGTCTCAAATGACACACTTCTGTGATGGCCATCCTGTTTAAATGCCCTTTTTTATTCTTTGCATGATAGTTGGGTCTCTGTGGATTGAAAGCATATGGCTTCACCTGTTTGGAGATTTAGTCTCTGATTTTTCTGTTTGGGGATATTCCAGAAAGTTTACGCCTTAAGCCATCAAGCTTAAGCTCTGGGAACAAGCACAGAAATTTGTGTACAAACCGCATACATTATTATGCAGTCAGGCCACTCAGCTTGGATGCGACATACAGTGGTTAAAAATCTACTCATCCTTTTATGTACTTCTTCTGAAGAGATTATATATATAAGGATGTAAATTGGAGTAACAGGCCTTCAGGGAAAACAAACGAACAACAAATAGAAAAAAAAAAAGACTCCAGCAGGCACAACACTGTAACAGAAAATGTTCACACTCAGTTATTAAAAAATTATGCTATTTGCAGCACACTCATGCCCTCCACTGATTCTGAGTTCGGGGGTAAGAATCGAACCGGGGAGAGAAACAATTTTTACTGTCTTTAAGAAAGAGCGTAGCAGTAATTTTTTTTTGC